CCACACAGCTGCAAAATGGCCTTTGGACCAAAGTCCACCACCCAAGATCTAACCTCCCTGCTGCAGCCCTGCCCAGCTGGCTGCCAGCGTGGGGAATTTACTTCCATTATTATTCCAGTTAGTGGATGATCAGAGGCCCCAGGTTGGTGTGGGGGTGCATCACCCTCCAAATTCTCCACTCGCATCTGATCTTGGGGAGGCGGCTGAGGAGGGTGCCAGAGGCAGCTGCAGGATGGGGGCTCCTGACAGTGCTCCTTTGACCTCCAAAGCGTCTTTATTCTCACACCCTCAACTAGTTTTTACATGTCCTCTCTGGAGCCCCCAGCCTCAAGCGATCAGGACCCCCAGCTGGAAAATGGTGTCATGGCAGCTCCTCAGGCTCCCAGCACTCCCCAGGCTGCAGTGGGACTGGGAAGTGCCCTGGGGCAGCAGGGGGAGCAGGGGGCTGGCACACACCAGGACTGCTCAGCACGCCGGGCTGGAGAACGGGAGCAGAGGTGGTCTTGGAGGGGGCTCAGCCCCCAGACCCTGCCTCAAACACCCATGGGTCCATGCAATTCCATACACAGAGACAGTGGTACGTGCATGCATGTGGTCACACACACTGGGACACCACACGTGTGTGGGCACACACATACACGTGGTCTCATACACATCCCTACACACACACGTATGGGTGCATACACACCCACACACTCGTACAGATCCATAAGCCCGTTCCAGCTCTCACATGGGTTCATACACGTTTGCACAGTCTACGGATCCATACAGACACACAGGGTCTCCCAAGGATTGCTAAACACAGGAGCACTCACAGATCCACACACGCGCATCAGCTCTCACAAAGGATTAGACACGTACCCCCACATTTACATGGGCACTAACATGGGTCCATGCACTCACTCTGGTCTGTATGCACACACACCCCCAAAACACTTCTGTATTCACTCCCAGTTGTACCCCAGCAGCCCCTTGCTCCTGCCCTGTGCCCTGCACTCATGCTGAGCTGCTGGAGCTGTTGTAGCTCTGGGGATTAGCACACTGACCCTTGCTGCTGATGCCACCTTCCCGCTGCAGGTGGTCCCGGACTAGCAGCAGAGCTCTGCCCACAAGTTTGCTGGATAGAAGCCTCCAGGCAGACGTGGACAAGAGCAAACACACCACATCCACCCCCCTCCCTGCCTCCGCAGTGTAACCAGAGACTCTCTAATTTAGCTCTGGGAGCCCTTCAGTTGTTGTTGCTGCACCTGGGTTGAAGATGCGCTGGAGGCGAGGAGGGGGCTGGGGCATGGAGACCACTTCCCTCTCCCCAGGCTCCCCCTCCTCAGCCTCTCCCTCCATTCCCTGGACATTCCTGCCTCCATTCCCTCAATCTCTCAGTGAGACCACCACAGAAGAAAGCAAATCACAGACCTTACCACCACATTTTGGGGTGACTCCAAGGCATGAGGTGGAGATCTGTGGCACGAGGAGGTCTGTGGCTACAGCCAACTTGGGGCACTTTCCTCTAGGCTTTGAGATGTGAGTGACTGCATTCACAGCTGGCAAGCCCTCCCTAAATGCATGTAAGGGACAGGCAGGTGGGTGCAAGAGGCAACTGCCAGTATCAGGGACAGGCAGGGCAGGAGGGAGGACGAACCAGGATTAGGCCGAGGATGATGGCAAACAGCTGCTGGCAAAACCAGCCACCCCCAAATTCACTGCTGAGGCCACTAGATACCTGAGAGTCCCTAAAGGGCTGGCTGGGGCTCACCCCTGTCAGCTGCTCTTGGGAAGGGAGGAAGGAGCTTCAGAGGGTCCTGTTTCCCCCAACCACAGATGGGTCTGAACATTCTGGTGGGGCCCTGGCAGGGAAGGCATCCTCCTGCCAGCAAACACTCCACTGACAGCTGGACACAAAGCCCAGGTGTTTGAATCCCTCCTGCCCTGGGGGACAGAGAAGGAAGCCTGGGGATCTGGTGGTGTTCTTCCATCGCCTAGAGGCAACGAGAGCACCCATCCCTGTGTATAAGCGGAGCTCCCCTGGCAGGAAAACTGAGTTCATGGAGCTGAGCTGGCACCAGCAATGCCAAGCTCTTAATCAGTGCCCTCCAAGTCAAATGTGATGCAGCACCACAGCACTGCAACTTGGCAGCATCTCCGTCCTTGAGGAAGTTGGGGTTCATGGGTAGTGCACGGTCAGACCCCACTCGGTGCCCCCCACCTCAGGGCTGGGGCTGCCTCACAGCCCTGGGTGTGGAGACCTCCCAGACCTTTGCTCAGATCTCTACCCATGTGTCCTTATCAATGTACATAAACTGGCGCCAGGGGCTGATGCAAGAGGCAGGGGTGAGGGGGTCTCAACCTCCTAACAGCAGAGCGGCCCTCCCAGTCAGAGCAAAGGTCTCACCAGCCCCCACCCCACCTCCCCAAAGCAGTGTCTCAGGAAGCATATAAAACCACGGCAAACACAGGGGATATTTCCCCAAAGTGCTCCTCTAGGCAAAGCAGCATTTGCCTATTAACCCTCAGGGGGTTCCTCCACCACACCCTTGTTCGCTGCTCCCTTTCTTAGCACCACTGCACTGTGTGGAAACCCTTCCATGGCTGGTCCTGCACCAATCCACCAACCCATCCCCATAGGGGTGTCCTCCCCACTGCAGAGAGATGGGGAAGTGTCTCCATGACCACCTTCTGCAAAACAGCCTGGACTTGGTGGTCCTTGTTCACTTAGCTATGCTACTGACCCAGAAGGATGACAGCAAGGACAAACCTTGAGACCTGTCTCAGGTGATGCCATGATGGCTTGGGGCAGTTTCAGGTAGGGAGTCCTGGTGGGAAACATAGCCCTGGTCACCACAGGGTCTCTCTCCAGTTCTGGGGCCCCCATGCCCACACTGCCAGTGCCCCAGCAGCTTTCCAGCATGCTTTCCCCCCACCTCCCTCCCGCAGCATCACAGCCCAGCCCCTGGGAAACCTCCAAAAGCCAAAGCACAGCCTCCCCACTTACTCCCTGTGGAGAGCACAGAACCTGTTCCCCAGGCTGGGTGAGCCACAGCCCTGCAGCCTGGGGAGGGCCCAGCAAGGACATGTCCCTCCCAGGCAGGGGTATGTCCCCTCCTGCATGATGACAGAGGAGGGACGGGAATGACAGCCACCCTGCAGACCACAAAGCAAGCTGGCACCACAGCCTGCTTTAAACTGCAGGGGGACATCCACTGTTCCCTGGGCTGTCTGGGACATGCCATCAGGTGGGAACTCAGGTGGGGGTCTCCAGAGCAGGGGTGCATCACCTTTCCGATCATGATTGGAAAAAAAAAACAAAAGAGAGCAAGCAAGGAAGGAGCCAGCTCTGGCCCTGGGAAGTAATGGCAGGATTTATCTCACACCCCAACCTCTCCTGCCATCTCTCTCCCAGTATTCACAATGCTCTGCCCTGCACGAGGAGCACAGGGAGCCCCAGCCAGGGGCAGGGCGTGAGGCTGAAGGACTAGAAATGCCAGGGATGCTTTCTCTAACCTCCTCAGGAGGGAGGAGCTGCTTCCCACCTCCTGGCTGACCCCAGGAACCGGACAGTCAGCCTTTTTCTCTGCAGCAGGGTGTAATGTAACACTTCCCGGACGAGCTGTTTGGCCTGTGCAGCTCACCCACCGCGGCCCTCCCCGGGCTGATTCAAGGAGCGTCAGGCACTGTCAGCATCCCCGGGCATGGCCGCGAGGCAGGTGCTGCCTATGCCCCTGTACCTGCTGCCTCACAGGCAGGCAGGTGCCCAGTGGGTGAGCCCTGGACCCTCCAAACAACAACGTATTGAGCACTCCTGAAACAAAAAAGGCCCCATAACACCCAAAAGTTGAGTTCCTGTTGCTCTTCCCATCCTCTCCCACCAGAACTGGATGAGGCAGTACCTGCCTTCCTCCTCCTGTTCCTGAGCGGTGCCATCCTAAAATGCCACACACCAGCTGTACAGGGACATCTCTGTCCTCTCCCCTCACCACATCTTCCCTGTCACCCACTGTGCCCCTCTCTCCCTGACAATGAAGCTCATGGGGAGCACAAACCTGGCCTGGTGCTGTGCACTCCATGCCCACACCCTTGTGTGGAGTGGCACTCACCATGCGCTAACCAGCACATTAAATACAGGCAGATCTTTCTTCCATCCTATATATGAGCCCTTTCCCTGCACCAGATCTCAGTGGCACAGGGGTGTCCCCCATGCCCACCTGGAGCGAGGCAGCAGGATCAGTGTGCTGCTCCCTCCAATGTAGGAAATCATTGGGCTGCATTTACCAGCCACAGTATGACCTGGCCCTTGCAGGGACACAAGGGAGCTCAGCTCCATGGCTTGCTGGCTCCTTGGGATAACCACGCACACCAGAGCCCTTGCCCTTTTTCACCTCTGCAAAACCTCTGTGGACAGGGGTCAGCCTGTTCTACCTGTTACGGAAAGCACCAGGGATGCAGGTGGGCACAGAGAGATGCCTGGACACGGGGCACCCCATCATGATGCAGGGCCTGTGGACAGGCAAAGGGAACACTGAGGAGGTGGAATCACAAAGCAGGGGTGAGACAGAGTTTGGTGGCAGGGAGATGGGGAGCACATGAGGATGCCTATTAGGGTGGGACAGGGCTTAGGGGCAGGGGCAGTGAGGAGCATTCAGGGAGCACTCATTTAGAGGAGGATGAGGAGCCGGGACTGGGATGCTGGGTTGCACTGATTGTACTTTCCCGGGATGAGGTTTGGGGGCAGTGGATGGATACCTTGGGGGTTCTCATTTAGCATGGCATTGCAATAATATCTGGGGCTAATAGGTGTACTGGGGTTGTCTGCTTGGCTTGGGACTGGGATGGGGTGTGGGGTTAAGCATTTAGGGTGGGACACAGACAGGGTTTGGGTGCAGTTTGGGGGCATAAGAGGTGCCCATTCAGAGAGGGCTGAACCCCGAGTTTGGGGGCCTTGGAGGGACACCGGGGATGCCTGCCCGGAGCAGCCGGTGCTGGTGACGGGCAGCGATGTCTCCTACCTGCTTGAACTGCTCCTCGTAAGTCCACTCGTGGTGTGGGGGCGGCGGCGGGTCGCGGGTCTCCCCTTCTTCCTCCTCCTCCTCCTCTTCCTCCTCCTCCTCCTCCTCTTCCTCCTCCCCCGGAGCGGCGGGCGGCGGGCGCGGGCCGGAGGCCGGGCGGCGGCGGGGACCGGCGGGCGGCGGGCTGGGGCCGGGCTCGGCCGGGGGCCGTCGGGGAGCGCCGTCGGGGCCGCGGGCCAGGCGGGCCGCCTGCTGCCGCTGCAGGCTCTCCATCACCGCCGCCAAGCGCAGCCCCCCCGCCGCCCCCGGTCCCCGCGGCGGGGCGGCCGGCTGCGGGCACAGGGCACGGCCTCAGCGCCGCCGGCGGAGGAGCAGGAGGAGGAGGGAAGGGAGGAAGCACCCCCTACCCCACCCGCTCTCCCAGCCGCTCCCGGGGGCCTTGCCCAAAAGTTGCCTGCGGAACCGTCGCCGCGCCGGGCGCGGCTCCCGCTGCGGAGGGGCTGCCTCCCCCCGCCGGGACCACCCGCTCACCCTACGGGGGGCCCGGCCCTCCGGTACCACATCCCCGCTCCTCCGGTGGACGCCCTTCCCGCTCCTACCGGGGACAGGTCCGACCCGGGACCTCCGTCACTGTCTTACTCGCTTCTCGGTCGGCTTCGGACCCATGTCCTGGTGGGACTCCCGCCCCTGTTCCACCGAGAACCGCGTCCTACCGGGTACCCTCTTCCCGCTCCCACCGGAGACCTCCGCCCCGACGGTCCCACCGGGAACCGTCTCCTATCTAGCCGCTCGCCGCCTCGTCCCGGGGACCCCGTCCCGATCCCTCCGATGCTCCCACCGGGCACCCTGGTCCTCCCGGGACCCTCCTCTTGCTCCCACCGGGGATCCCCATCCCGCTCCCTGTCCGACGCGGGTGCCCCCACCCCGCTCCCGCCGCGCACTCCCGCCCTGCCGGGGCCCCTCCGACCGCTCCGTCCCTCACCAGGGCGGGTTTGGCCGCCAGGCTGGGGTTTTCCACCATGCCGCCGGCTCCGAGCGCCGCCCGGGGCTCGCCCCGCCGTCCCGGGGGGCACTGCCGGCTGCTCCGCCCGGTCCCGGCCCCGACCCGCCGCTCACATGGCGCCGCGCCCGCCGATATTTCTTTTATTCCGCAGCAGATGAGGGTGGGTGGGATTTTTTCCTCTTTTCTTTCTTTCTCTCTTTCTTCCTTTTTTTTTTTTTTTTTTTCCCCGCTCTCTCTCTCTTTTTTTTTGTTTTGTTTTTTTTTTTTTTTTTTTTTTTTTTTTTTTTGCAACAAGTGGCAGTCAGAAGCAACACCCCTCCCCGCTCCCATTTGCTAGCGCACGTCAAGGGAGTCACCCAGGGAGGGCCGGGCTTGCGGCAGCCCCGCAGGGTCGCCCCGGCCGGGCCCGCCGAGAGCCAGCCCGGGGCCGCTCTGCGGGGAGCGGCAGGAGGGGCCGGGGCTGGAGGCGCAGGGGGCTGGGCGACCCCCAATTTTTGTGTGTTCTTGCGTGCTTTGGGGTGCTGGAAGAGGGGAGTGCATGGGGGTGCGTGCAGGCTCTCCGGGTGTGCACACATCGATGTGTGAGGAGAGGGGACTGTATAGGAGGGGTACGCGAGGGGTTTGTGCACAGATGTTTGAGTGTTGCACCCGTTGCACACCTTTACGGAGGTGTGTGTGTGTAGATATCTGTGTGTGCTGGGAGAAGGTCTTTTGTGAGTGTGTGTGTTCATTGCTTGAATGCATAGGTATGTGCACACTGAGACAGACGAGCACCCACCACACGTGTGTGCAGGGTGTCTGAGCACACCTGTATCTGTGCCTGCTGGGGGAGGTGAGTGCATTACACGCCTGCAGTGTGAGCACATGTGTGTGTGTTTGCTGCTGGGGACAATAATACATGCTTATATCTGCATGTGTGTGTTTTGTGTGTTCACCTGTTGGTGTGTGCAGTCCGTGTCAGGAGAGGTGGGGGGGGTGTGCTGTTGCACAGGCAGGTGGGTGCACGTGCCTGTATTTGGGGGTGATTTGGGTGTCAATCCATGTGCAGCTGCAAAGGGATGTTTAGGGCAAGCTCCAAGTGCTGAACCCTGACTACATCCTCATCCAGCAGCAATGTCCCATGGTGGGGACTGAGCCTGCCCTCACCTCTGAGGGATTCTCCTGAGGAATGCTGTGTGTGCCTGTTCCCTGGTTGAAGGGATCAGACTGCAGTGTGGCCTGGATGCCCAGATAGGCTTCCTGGCACGGGTGGGATAAGACCAAGCACCTCCTCTGTCACTGGAGTGGCTCAGTGCTGCTGGTTTGCCCTGTAGTCCTGCTTGCAATGGAGTAAACTGTGGAACAAGGGTATCATCAAGCATGTTTCCAGATGTCAGACAAGGATGTAAGATGGAGTGAGGACATAGCATCTCACTGCTCTGGGTGGGCCAGAGGCCATGGGGAAGCACAGGGCTTCACCTGCTGGCAGCTTCCCCACACTGTTTCCTCACTCCCCCTCCACCTGCCTGCCCGCCAGTTTTTCCTGACCTCATTTTTATGGAGGAAACTTCTCCAGGAGGCAAAGGAGGTGCCTGCTTTTCCTTGGGCTTTTTTTGGCCAGGGCAGCTGCAGGGTCTGCATGAATCTCTGGGGAGCAGTGTCATCCCACATCACCGGGACTGTGGCTTTGGCTCCATCCCATAACCAGAGCAGTTGGTCACTGAGACTTCATGCTGCTGCACTGGGTATCAGTGGCATGGAATGACAGAGCTTGGGTGCCAAGGGCTGCTGGCCCTGTCCCCTCCACAGCCACCTGTGTGGTGCAGAGGCCAGGGGCAGCCAGCATGAGCAAAATCCTTCCTTTTCCTTGGAGCGTCTTGCGGAAACAGCCGCTGACCGTGGCTGTGGCAGGGGCTGACTTTGCTGTCAGGCTTCATGGCCTGGGCTGATCCTCTGCCCCCTTCACTATTTCCTTTTGTGGGGAAAAGCTTCTACTTCTGGGCTCTCCAGCTTCCCTGTGAGCATCTCTGGAGAAACTGCCCCTTGTTTTGCCATGGCACTGATGATTCTCAGGGCTTCTTGGGCTCCTGGCACCCCAGCCGCACTGAACATAGTGCAGCACGCTCACCAGAGAGGCTCTCCCGGAAATATCAGACCCTTCCCTGGGAAAGCAGGGCAGCTCCCGACCCTGCAGGGCCCCCAGACGCTGTTTATGTTTGCACAGGAGATGAATTAGCTGTCGGCTGTCCTATTTCAGGGCTGGACAGCTGTAGCTTGTGCTGGCCTATCCCATCCAGCTGCAGCAGAGGTAGGGACCTCCCGGTGCTTGTCAGCCCCTCTGATCATTAGTTTGTTGGTGGCTGGCATTCTTGTTGAATTGCCACTGGGAAGATGAGACCTGGCCCTATTCCAGAGGGATCCACTGAGCCAGATGACCCCCAGGACTCATTGCACGGACACCCATCCTCCATGGCTCCAGCCTCCCCTCACAGTGCTGCTGCTTTGCACCCCAGGGTGCTGGCACCCTCTGCTCTGGGCTGTGCCTGATCCACTGCACACTGAAGGCTGGGCTGGGTGGGATGAGACAGACTTGGTAATGGTAGTGGGACTACTCCAAGGCTCAACAGGCAGGTGTTTGGTGAAGCTCCCCTTCTCCAAGGCAGAGGGGTTGAGATGCTTGGGTCAGTGTAGCACCCAGGGATGTGGGATGTGGCTAGGCTGGCTAAGTGGCAAAACCAAGGTCTCCAGGGGGTGCAACATGCCCCGTCGCCTTGGACTTGGCCACCAAGGGACCAGCCTGACCAGCACGACTCAGTTCCTCTTTAGAGCCTGCACAGTGACAACAGCAGTTTTGGGGTTCTGCACTTGTGTCATGAAGTACGTCTGTGCTCAGGCTCTCCTCGGTGCAGCAAGCAGGACCATGTCACCTCCACCCTCCGGCTCAGCGTTTTGTACTGATGGGGTCCAGTGATGCTCCCAGCTGGAGAGAAATTCCCCAAAGGGCTATTGACAGCTGTGGTTGAGGCAGCACAGATAGATAGTGGAGGTATAGACGGGCACAGCAGACAGTGGAGTGGAGTGAGAGATACTCGGAGCAGAGAGATACCGCAGGAGGAATCGAGAGATAGATCCTGCGGGCTGATCAATACTCACTGCATGTGGAGGGACAGCAAGATAAAGCGAATTGCAGGGGGAAGGTGTTAGGAAGGCAGCGATGTGCATTTGTCCTGGTAGTGGCTCTGGGGAGATGCCACTCACAGTTGCTTCAGCTGGGGCTGAGGCAGAGCCAGACCCAGACCCAGACCCAGGGTGCGGGTGTCTGTGGCTTCCTCTCCTTGCCCGTCTCCAGCCACTCCACAAGGATTTGGTGTCCTTTAAGGTAGCCTTGGGTCCTATCTGGCCTCTGGGTACCAGAGGGTGCCTATCTTCTGTGTGTCCTGGTCACACTCTCTGCCCCTACAGGGATGCCTCTGCTGTCTGTGGGCATTTTGAAGGATGGGTGCCTGGGCAGCCAAGGGGGAGAGGAGCAGTTGAAGTGCAAGCCTTGGCTCTGGCACAGGGGCTGTGCTGCAGCTGGGTGACTGTGGATGAGTTTCCACCCTGTGGCTCAGTTTCTCCATGAGAATCAAGTGATAGCAAGCTGCAGGGAGTGGGGTCAAGCCAGCATGGACACAGGCACGGATGAGGAGGTGTGGGGAGGAAGGGGCAGAGGTACCAAAAGCCATGACATGCTTTGTCCAGGACCCATTTTTCCTCTTTGGTCACTGGAGACACTTAACTTGACTAAGAGGCTGCAGACACGTGCAGCAAAGGGAAGGGATGCTTTTTGGAAACCTTGAATGCCTGGCACTGTCTGTGCTCAGTGCTGGGATTGGGGGAACCCCTCCTGCTGCAGCAAAGCAGCCAGGGTTCCTGAGTCTGAGACACCAATGCTGCATGGTTTCTCTGCTTGGCATGTCCCAGCCTAGCTGGGAATGCTGAGGAAGGCACCCTCAGAGCAGCCCTTAGCATGGACCAGGCTGCTGTCCCTGCGGCCAGGCTGGGGGGGATCCCCCACCCGTGATGGAGTTATTGACACAGGCGCTACAGAAAACACTGCTGAGATTGTTCACACTAATGTTATTTAGCAGCAATATTTCCGTAATAAAAGAAATCAATGGGCAAGAGAAAAGACCTGTCCAGAGCTTTGATTTTCTTATTTTAATGGCATACTTATTTACTCCCACCAGCGTGCCCATCGGATTTTCATTATGCGGCCTTCGCTGTAAGTGGAGCGGTATTGATACGAGCTGCTGAGTTAGCGCCTTCCCAGGCGGACCAGCTTGTGTGGGATCGCTTGTGTTTCCCAACAGGGCCCAGCTAGACCCCAGGGAAGGGCCACAGTGTGGGGCCAGGGAGGCCTCACAGCCCATGGGAACACACACGTGTGAGCACACCCAGCCTGTGTGTGCCCTCGTGCCTGTGTGCATACGCACGATCTGACTGTGAGCACACAGGTGAGCAAAAGGGTGTACATACCTGCTGGTGCGTGCACTGCACACTGTGCACATGCACGTGCATGACACACTTATCTCACCTGCACAGGCACATGCACACGTGCACATCCTACCCACATGTCCCAGCACTCACATGCGTGCAACTGCCCAGACTGTGTGGACAGGCAAACGATTGTTCTACCTAAATACATTCATGTGCCACCACCTGTTGTGCCTACACCCACCTGAAAACTATTCTACATGCATGCACCCATCTGCACGACCTGGCAATACACACACACACACACACATAGACACAAACAGACAACAATCCTGCCTGCCTCCATGTATACATGCATGTAGCATGTCTGCCAACATGTGTACGTGTGCGTGTGTGTGTGTGTAAACCTCTCAGAACCATCACCTGCTGTGTCTAGGTCCATCCACCACAAACCCAACATTGGTACTGTCCCCCAAAAGGATGGAGCCCCCTGGGCTCTGAGACCCCCCATGGAAGCAGGGACCTGGCATCAGCCCAGGCTTTTGGTCCCCAGCGACTGCAGTGGAGAGAAGAGTAACAGCACCATCTTCTGCCAATCCCTGGGAGCTGAGACAGGGCTGATCCTGCCCAACACTGTACCCTCTATCTCCCAGGACCCCAAGAGGGATGAGACCAGCTTCCCTGGGGACACTCAGCTGTCAGGAGGACTACTGCTGAGCATGTGGCTGACCTGTGCCATGGCAGGGCTCAGCATGCTCCAGAGACTCTCCCAGACACCTGAGCATGTGGGATGAACAACTTTATTACTGTTATCTCTATTCAGGTAGCAAATTAAGAAGTAGCCCATGTGCAGGGCTGCTGGTCAGCAGACAGGAACAGTCCACGGAGGAGGAGGAGCAACATGCTACAGGCCTGGGTGGCCAGGGACACACACGTGCTTGGCAGCAGCGTGGAGGTGAAAGTCCTCCACCATGCAGTGAGCCCACATGGGTCTGGCCACAGGGATGCAAGCAGGGTCCACTGCTGGGTTCCACTGGGGCATTGCAGCGCTCCGTCGGCAGCCGGGATCCCATGCCGGGAGCCGAGCAGAGTGGCTGTCCCCATGGGATCTCACAGCCAGAGGAAGCATTTTGAAGGGCGAGATCCCATCCTGAGCTAGTAAAACAGACATTTGGGCACTCGAGGACACTGGGTACGTGCATAGCCAAGAGGCCATGCAGAACGGGGTTTCCATTAAGGCGACAGACGGTGGGTTTCCCCCTGGGGGGGGGACTGCAGGGAGGGGACTGTGGGAAAGGGACCCTCTTCCAGCCCTGGCCCATCCCCTGGGGCAGATGACACACAGGGGACCAGGGGGATTTCCAGTACAGAAGCTGGGCATTCCCCCACTGCCGGGGGGTCTCAGCGCAGATCCTGCCCCGTGCCAGGGTGACACTGTGTGCTGCCAACCTACATCAGCAGGGATGGAGCCACGGGAGATGCTGCCAGTTGGACACAGTGCTTTGCGCTGCCCGCAGTCCCGGCAGGCTGCCAGGGAGATGGGGGACTTACTGGCTGACCTTTACAGTCAGTGCTCTAGCCTGGCTCACCCTGTGCACCCAGCCCTGAGGGTGGCATCCTTCTCCTGATGTCTGAAGAGCTGCAGAAATTTTGTGGGGCCTGGGGACAGCCAGCTCCAGCCCCTCTCCCGTTGCATGCTGAGAGCACACAGAGGTGTTTGTACACTGCAAGGCCACTCCAGTCCCAAGGGATGGAAAAGCTGGACATGACTCCGATAGAAAAGAGAGAGAGGGAAGCAGTAAAGAGAACTAGTGGTCTGTATTGCTGTGACCACCAAGATCCCTCTGTCCTGGCACCCCGTTGGCCCATGGGGAAGGACAGAGAAATTTGAGGAAGGCACAGGGGATCTCCTGCTGCCTCTGCTAGAACCTGGGCTTGGGGAGGAAGAGAGAAAGGCTGGGAGGAGTAGAGCCAACTGGGCTCGGCAGGGTGCCCTGGCAAGACTGGCTCAGCATCCAAAGGTGCTGAAGAAGGCATTGGCTTCCAGGAGCAGGCCCTTGGCATAGACACGCAGGGTGTAGAAGAGGGTGACGAAGTCCTGAGTGCTGAAGAGGGTGTCAGCCAGGGCGAAGGCGAGTGTGGAGGGGATGAAGCCCCGGCCGTACTCCACCATCCAGGTGCCCGCGCTCCACTGCACTGATGTGGCCTCTCCCGCCTGGTGCACGATGGTGTCTCCTGCCAACAAACACAACCAGAACGGCTCCCAGGAGCTGCCCCACATCATGCCCAAAGGGGAGACACCTGAGATTGGGACCTGCAAGGCTGAGCATCCCAACCCACCCCCAGCCTTGCTCACTTTTCTCTTACTGCCAGCCACTGAGGTGCTGGGATGTGTCTCTGGGGACATAAACTGCCCTATCCAGAGCTTTTGGCCAGCTTGAAGGAAGGGGCTTTATGACAGTGAGTGGCTTTGTCCCAAGGACATGGACGCAACCCACAGGGTGCTATGGCTACTGCACTTACCTGGATAGTAGATCTCACTTCTGGTGGTCCCCTCCTTCCACTGCCGGAATGTCCCAGAGATGACAGTGTCAGAAATATCTGCCCAGTACCGACCTATGGGAGGAAGGACAGCACTGGCTGAGCATGTCCCTGCCAGGGACAGTGCAGGAGCTCAGGTCTGAACCATGGAGCAGCTCTCCGGGGGTGAAGATGCCAAGCCCCAGGGCCTCAATACACCAAGAAGCGCAGACGGGTCTGTTACCCAGGCTGCCTGTGTGAACAGCCAGCCTGGGCTGCTTGGTGTCCTTAAGCCCCATCGTTTCCACCTTGTTTGGCATTTGCTTCCTGCTGAAGCACTGGGAGATGAGATGTCTGCCATTGCCTGCCAGCTGGATGCAGAGAGTCCTGGCCACACAGCATGTCATGCACAGGGACCCACAGGTGCTGCAGGACACCACGCAGGCTAGGCCCCACAAATTATTTTCCAGCATTGTCCACCCCATACAAGAAGTGAAGCAATGCCTGTGCCAGGCACACCACAGCCAGGGTAGCTGGACCCAAACAAGTGGAGTGGAAAGAGCTCACAGAACAACCCTGCCTCCCAGACCTGTCTCCCTGCTTACCTGAGTGGCCCCCGGTGTCAACAGCTGTCCCGAAGAGCAGCACGTACTCGGTGAGCGAGGCATGGAGCAGGCACATGGAGCCCATCCACCCGCCTGCATTCACAAACACCCACTGCAGGTCCTCATCTGGCAGGATGTGGCCTGGGTGCTTCTTTCGTAGCTCCACAATGATCTTGGAGAAAGCCAGCTCATGGTCTAGCCCTGCAGCAGCCAGAGTCACTGTAAGTCCCCGGCAGTGGAAAAGGTCTGCTGGCCACCCCCAGAATCCCCTGCACAGCCACAGGGTCTCAGCGCTCTCTTAGAGGGGTCTGCCTAGGGAAGATGTGTCCTCTCCCCAGCTTTCAGCCCGTTGACCCATCTCTATCGTCTCCCTGGATAGTGATAGAGAATAAACAGCACCAAGTGCTCCAGCCCTATAGCCCACCTCAGGTGATGGGCAATAGGGGGGTCCCAAGCAAGGTGACAGTGCCCCTGCCCTGGTGACATGCAGTCCCGACCCTACACCCTGTGACCTACAGGGACAGCTCTCCCTTCCAGCCCCAGCGAGGGGGCCACTTATGCCTCTGACTCACGTGGGGCTTGGTCGCCTGACCTGGCCCAGCCCAAGGACCGAGAGAACCGCCCCAGGCCCGGGTCCAGTCTCAACCGGGCTGGGTGACGCCTCTGTCCCGGTCCCCATCTCTCCTTTGCTTCAGCCCCATTTTCCACTCCGCTTCCCCCATTCTCCCTGTGGCTGTTCCCTGTACCGGTCCTATCCCGGTCCTGCTGCCCAGTCTCAGCCCCTGGCCCCTCCTTGACTCCAACTCCATTCCCCCCGTGATCCCGGCCCCCCTGTACCGGACTCGCCTTGGTCCCTCGCCCTCGACACGGCTCCCCTCTCCATCCCAGGCCGCCGCTCCCCGCCACGTCCCCGGTTCCGCCCCCCATCCCAAATCCCCATCGCCATACCCCCGTCCCTCCTCGCTTCCCCTCCCCGCCGCTACCCTCCCCGGTCCCCAGGGGCGGCCGCGTTACCCGCGTGGTGCCGGGCGAGCTGTGCGATCTCGGCGGGGGTGAACTCGTACCGCTTGGCCGCCAGCCATCCCCGCAGCACCTGCAGCACCAGCGCCAGCGCTCCCAGCGCCAGCCCGGCCCGCAGCGCCCGCCGCCCCCACGCCGCTCCCATGCCGCGCTCCGCCGCCCCCCCGGCACCGGGAGCGGGAGCGGGACCCGGCCCGGGACCGCCCCCGCCGCGGCCACGCCACGCACGGCCTGGGGCGGCTGCGCCGGCGCGGCGGGGCGGAGCGGGAGGCTGGAAGGGGCCGATCCCGCCGGGTTTCCGGGAGCGGGCAGGCATGGAGCCAGCGCCGGCAGGGCAGAAGGAGGGGGGCAGCCGCTTCCGCGCCAGCGGTACGGACGGGGCTGCTTTCCTCCCTCCCCTTCCTCCCTCCCTCCCTCCCTCCCTCCCTTTATCCGTCCGGACCCCCCAGTGGAGCGCAGCTCAGCCCCGGGAAGCGGGAGCTGCGGGAACCCTCCCTGCCTCGGGCGGGTGGCAGCGGACTGGGACAGGGAGGAAGGGGTGAAGCTGGGAAGGTTCAAAGTCTCTTGCATGTCCTCCTCTTGTGGGAGGTGAGTGTTTGTGTAACCCATCTGCAGGGGGATCTGCCCCCCCGCGTCCCTCTCTGACGCCCCGCTGCTCTCCCCTGCCCGCAGAGCACCAGCACGCTCGTTACAACCCTCTGCGGGACGACTGGGTGCTGGTATCGGCCCACCGGGTGAAACGCCCCTGGCAAGGGCAGCTGGAGAAGCCGCCCCCCGAGGACGTACCCCGCTGGGACCCCAAGAACCCCCTCTGTCCCGGGGCCACCCGGGCCAACGGCGAGGTACCACCAAGGGGCCCAGGGGTCCGGGCTCCCCCAACACCCTCTCCTATCCTGATCCCGTCTCTTGCCCCGGCAGGTGAACCCCCAGTACGAGGGCACTTTTGTCTTCCCAAATGACTTCCCTGCGCTGCAGCCTGATGCTCCAGAACCTGGTAACTTCTGGGGGTAGAATAGTCTGCTGGGGACCCCTAGACTTGGGTCTTGGAGGGGCTGCAAGGTGGCCTGGAGAGACATGGGTGCTGCCCCAGCACCTTCTCCCTCTCTACTCTCTGTTCTTCCCTAGATGACAGTGATCACCCCTTGTTCCGAGCTGCCCCAGCCAGGGGTGTGTGGTAAGTACCTCCATGGCTCCAGGGAATCTGGGACGCAGTTTGTCCAGAACTGTGAGGTGATGCTGGACTGAGCCTGCTCCCCTCTTGCAGTGCCTGTTCTGTGCACATCTGCACTATTTTGGGGTCATTCTGGAGGTCTTGTCACTGTCCCTTGTTCCACTGCACCCAGCAGGACTGTGAGGATCTCTGGAGATACCCACAGTCCCAGCCACATGTGTTTCCTCCACAGCAAGGTGATGTGCTTCCACCCCTGGTCAGACCTGACGCTGCCCCTCATGTCCCTGGCAGAGATCCGGACTGTCATCGATGCGTGGGCAGAGCTGGCGACCGACCTGGGTGCTTCCTACCCCTGGGTGCAGGTGTGGGACTGGTGGAGGCTGCTCTTTTCTGGCTGGAGGTGGGAGGCCAGTGCTGGGTACTCTGGCAGCACCAGGAGTTGGGAACATCTTAGTTGTGTGTGGGTCCCCTGTCCCTACGTTGTGCCTCGCTGAGCCTTTCCATGCGGGCGTGAGGCTCTGTTCCCCTGCGGATGCGCTTCCCTGCCTTGCTGGGGACACCACAGCAACTTGCAGTGGGGACCCTGCGGCCGGGACCTGCTGGCTGCACCTCTTCCTCTGCAGATCTTCGAGAACAAGGGAGCGATGATGGGCTGCTCCAACCCGCATCCCCACTGTCAGGTGAGGCTGTCCAATCTGTCACCTGGCTAAACCGTGAGTCCTTGTCGGCGACCCTACAACAAACCCCCGGGGGAAGATGAGAACGGCAATTCCCCCCCCTCCTCCATGCAGTGAGGAGACCCCATGCCTGTCCAGTTACCACCTCTCTCGGAGGCACTGTCGCTTGTGGCTGCCGTAATCTGGACTCTCCACCTGGTGGCAGCAGGGACCTGCAGATGAGCAACGTGACTGGGGGTACCCCTGCAAAGGCGGGTGCGAGTCCCTCAGCCCCGTGTCCCAATGTGCTTCCCAGGTGTGGGCCAGCAGCTTCCTCCCGAACGAGGCGCGCCTGGAGGACCGGACCCAGCGTGAGCACCTGAGCCAGCATGGTGTGCCCATGCTGCTGGAGTACGCTGAGCAGGAGGCTCGCCGAAAGGTCAGGACATGGTTGTTGTCCATATCCCCTCCCTGGCAGCTGGATATGTGCCCCAGCCCCCAAGAGCTGGGCCCCAGGAGTGCCCTGGGGCGTTGGGATTGCATAATTCCCCATCAAGCACCACGTCCTGCAGGAAAGGCTGGTGGTGGAGAATGCGGACTGGCTGGTCGTGGTGCCGTACTGGGCCACCTGGCCCTATCAGACCCTGCTGCTGCCCCGCCGCCATGTCTGCCGCCTCCAGGACCTCAGAGAGGGCGAGAGGGACAGTGAGTGGCTCTGATCCTTGTTAGCCCCTGTCTCATGTCCTTTGGGCTTTGACCTTCATTAGGAGGTGGCTCTGTGGCAGCTGTGCTGGTGCTGGAGGGTCCATGTATGTCCCCTTGGGGTGCGAGGCCACTGGGTTTGGCTGAGGAGGGAACTGATACCCCTGTTTTCCTGGGATAAAAGCTTAGTGTCCAGGCACAGGCAGTACTGCAGGTGAGAATAGAGTCCTTTTTGGAGTGATGGTGCCTCCCTACTTTTGAGGGAACTCCTGTGGTGTTGCTTGTGCTGTCTGCATGGATGGAGAGAGCATCAACTACCAAGTGCAACCCTCTTGCCTGTCACCGATGTCCACCCAGGGAGAGGTGCTGAGGGTTACACGCCTCATTGCCTGGCATGATGCCTGCCCTCGGAGGGGTTTGGCCAGCTCAGGGTGGCACTCTTCTGCAGGCCTGGCCTCCATCATGAAGAGGCTGCTCATCAAGTATGACAACCTCTTTGAAGTCTCCTTCCCCTACTCCATGGGCTGGCACGGTGAGTGGCGTGGCTGGGGGACCCTCACAATCCCCTCACTCTCATCCCTGTCCCCTTCCCGCGGCTCACGCAGCACCTACACCTGCGGCAGGAGCCCCCACAGGCCCCCACCTGGAGGAGGACTGCAGGCACTGGCAGCTCCACGCCCACTACTATCCCCCACTGCTGCGCTCTGCCACTGTCCGCAAGTTCATGGTGGGATATGAGATGCTGGCGCAGGCACAGAGGGACCTCACCCCTGAGCAGGTGAGTGCAGCTCGCGGGGATTGGGGGAACCAGGGAGTCCTGTGCCAGGGCTGTTCCTGGGACCAGCCACTGGCTGCCCTTTGTGCTGTGCCCTGCAGGCAGCTGAGCGCCTGAGGAGCCTCCCTGAGGTGCACTACAAAGAAGGGGACAAGGAGATGTGATGGGGAACAGCAGAGCCGGTCCTCATATGTGAGTGTGAGGGGAAACCTTACCCCATTTTATGGCTAGAATGGAGGTCGTAGCCGGGTGAGGAGGTTTCTCCCAGGTAACAAGTGATAGGACAAGAGGAAACAGCCTCAAGTTGTGCCAGGTGAAGTTTAGATTGGATGTTGGGGAAAATTTGCTGAAAGGTTGGTCAGGCACTGAAACAGGCTGCCCAGGAAAGTGATGGAATCACCATCCCTGGAAGTGTTCAAAAACATGGAGATGTGGCGCTTGGGGATGTGGTTTAGTAGTGGCCTTGGCAATGCTGGGTTAATGGTAGAGGACTGTGATTCTATGTGCTTGGTAAGGCCAGGAGCCAACTGGCAGTGGTGAGAGCTGAGGCCTGGGAACTCCTTGTGATCTTGTGAAGCCTTGTGACCCCTCTCAGCTCCCAGATTCTCCTGAGCCTTGTCACGGCTGGGCTGGGTTTTGGGACTGATTTACTTGTTCAGGTACTCCAGGCCTAATCCTGTGGCATCCTCAATAGGTGGTGCTGTTCCTTGTCTCCTTCACCATCCTGGCTCTGTCTGTGCCTCCACAGCGTGCTCCTACCACCACCAAAGGGCTTGCACTCCTTACCAGTCCAGTCTCACTGGTGGGATTGGGAGTTCTTCCTTCCCTGTGGAGGGACATACCGGACAATACCCCAACCTCGGACAATAAAATCTGGAAACAAAAGTCCCTCTGCTTGTGCCCTCGTGGCTCTCAGTCCTGGGTGGGAGGTTTAGGGTCTCTAGTGGGGACCCCCAACTGTTGGGGGGTGGGTAACACTGGTGGCTGCAGGAGATGTACTGGCACCCCCATGCCTCTTATTCCTGGTCCTGCCTCTGTGCTGCCTCCTCTTCCTCCATGGGGGGAGCTCTGAGTCTGTCTCTGAGTGCTGCAGGCTTGGGGAGGAGTGGGAAGCAGAGAGGAATGGATGTAGACCAAGGCTTAGCGAGCTCCTGGGAGAGGACTGAGTCCTGGCTAACTCACTGCATGGAAGCTGCTGGCTGGAATGGTCAGCCCTGGAGCTGTTCCTCTTCATCCTCTGCCTGGGACTGCTGGCCTGCAGCCCTCATGGTGCCTGCTGTGAGTGCTGGGGCTGCCGGGATGCAGCCAGGCACTGGTGGGTCAGCTGTCTTCGTGGTGCTGTTGCTGCCCCCTTTATCCTTCCCTGTGGCTGCACGTGGTGTGGGATAGCAGCATCCTGGTCCCTGAGCTGAGGGATGCTGCATTCACCTGTCTGTGCTCTCCTCCCTTGCAGCCCTTCCCTCCAGGAAAGCCCCAGGGCTGTGCAGGGGTAGATTGTGGACAGTGATGCCACCACAGCTGACGTGGGGGAGGATGCTGTGCTGTGTACTATCATGTCTTTGCACAAATAGTTTTTATTTGTCACTAAAGAACCGTTCTCGCAACTCTCTAATGAGACCCCTACCATTGTCAAGTCTGTAAGTGAGCTCCTGAGAGCTGGAGGTACATTGCAAGGAGAGAAATGCTCTCCTCCTACCTACAACACAAGAGTTTGTGAGGAGGGCTGTGTTCCCTCTGACCCACCTGTGCATCCCTGTCCATGGGGCTGGGGGAGGCAGAAAGGCACTGAAAGCCACTGGCTGGGAGGCTGGATGCTCTTCTACGTGCTGGTCCTGTCCTTCTGCCTGGATTTCCCCATCCCTGAATCCACAAAGCATCCCAAACTGACCTCATGGCTCCCCAGGTGCCCCAGGGTTTTGGGGAGGAGCTGGAGCCATCATTGTACACAACGCCCCTGCGCACGGTATAGGGGTTGCCCGGCTCGGAATCTGACCTCTTGCAGAGTGATTCCTTCTCTCCTGGGACGAGCAGTGTCCGTTTGGGCTCTGCGACCCACCCGATCGCAGCCCCTCGTCCCTTATCATTGCAACCAGTGCCTGCATGCCAACCTCTGAATTACCACGCGTGCCTCCAGGGTCCTGGGAAAGCGGCAACAAATTGGTTTAAATGTGGCAATCCAGATTGGGGTAATTAGCCGCTGAACCGGTTGTAACGAAGCTCGTCATCTCCCTGCACGCGCAGTTAGCTCTGATTTAATAGCCCGCCGGCTCCCAGGCCGGGCTGCCGCGCCTCGGCCCGGGGCCGTAAATGAAACTCGCAGTTAAGTCAAGCGGTATTAAACTTTACAGTCGCCGTCTTTAGAAACGAGGCTCTCTCCAGTAAATCAGAGCAAGTGCGATTGTAAATATCGAGGCAGGATCCATATTGCTTAATTAAACAGCAGCTAATGAACAGCCCGTTTGTTGTGTTGTGATTTAGGGCGGAGGCTGGGGAGGCAGTACGTGCCGAGGAGTGCCGGTTTCGGGATGCCCTCTGCTGCCGGTAGTGGCTCCTGTAGTTCAGCTGCTGCTAAAAAAGTGTCTGAGATGGCCTGAGAATTGATTTTATTTTTTTTAAATAAAAATTAAACACCTCCTCTCAAATCTGAAAAACTCAGGGTGGAAGCCAGCAGCAGTTAGAGGAGGAGCAGGGGATACAGCCAGATGTGAGAGCAGGGCTATACTGAGCTTCCCACTTCCTCCCAACAGGTCCACCTGCTCTTGCCCTGATATTTTTAGCTTGTGCATGGAGGTGTGAAAGGCTGGAAGGGAGCAATGAAGCTTTCCTATAGCACAAGGAGGCATCAGTCTGGTGCAAACAGAGCTACCGTGGATGGAAGGGCATTGCAATTCATAGGAACCATTGCTGGTGTGCTGCAGAGCCCCAAAGCCTTTTACATTTTAGTGGTTACAGTCCAGTTGTAATTAAAAAGTGATTTAGGGCAGAGAGATTAAAAAGTCTAGCTGGGTGAGGGATGGGGGAGTGGAGGGGCTGTGGGGTACCCAGCTGTTGCTCTTGACCTGGGAGCATCAAAGGGAAACTGAGGCCTGTTGGGATTCCCTGTAGGAACTGGGTTTCTCAATGCCGTTCTGTTTCTGCAGGGTAGCTGTCAGAGATCCTGGGCGTCCCTGTGACTGGGTAATCCTTTTCCTGACTCCACATCCCCCAGCATCTGCAATTCCTGCCCTGAGCTGCTCTGGAGGAGTGAGCAGGGTGGGGGATGGGGAGAGCAAGAGGAGCTAAGGCTAAGCTCAAGCATGGAGTTAATGAATTAAAAACACATCAAGGTCCCTTGGAGGTGTTTGCACCCTCTGTGGTGCGTTAATAGGTCTGTGAGGGATTAGAAAAGGGATGCAGTGCTTCTGCACTGGGCTGGCACATCCCATGCTCTGCAAGGAGCAAAGGATAAGTCCAGTGGAGAATGTGGAGATGTAGAGATGCTTGAGGGGGTATGGCCAGGAATTTATTCTCATTTTAATTCCATTTTCTGATGCCACTGAAAGAAATGGGTCAATCTGCCAAGGGACATGGCTTTCCCAAAGCTCCTGGGGTTTTGTCTCGAGAGAGACAAGCCAGTGTGCTTGCACAAGTTGTAGCAGTGGCTGTCTCCATCATAATTCCTGTCCTGCATGTTTGGGAGACCCAGAGCACCCCGAGCTCTGACACTGAAACCTTCTGCGGACACAGTTGAGTCCTGGGATGCTGGTCTGGGATGCTGCCCTAGTGCACAGGCACCATTGGAATGAGCACTTAATGGTAGAGGCAAGTGCTGGAGGCAGGTACATGGCCTTTGGTTACATGTCCATGTCCTTGGCAGCTGCCAAAGGCTGCAGAGCTGCAGACATGCTGCAGATCCCGAGTCCCCAGTCCTGCCTACCCCTCTTCCTCTCCTCCCTGCTTTCCAGTGCAGGTGAGACAATAATATTGAACAAAAGAAGTTAATCTGTGACCAGAGTGTTTTAATCAGAAAAAAAAGTTATGAGTCCAAGCCTGCTGGCTCCTGCCAAAGTGCAGTTTTACTGTTCCTCCTGGTACCAGGTTTATGGCTGTCATTTCATTCCAGTTTTACTGTTGTTTTTGCCCTTATCGTTGAGTTTCTCCTTGCCTGCTGCTGCCTGAAACTGAGTGGGGGTTTTGTCAATGCATTAGGGAAGAAATCAGGGAATTTTCGGGGGGAAGAAGAGAAGGAAAGGGAGGAAGAGAGGAAAGATGAAAGGAAGGAAGAAATGGAGGAAGGGAGAGAAAAAGGAGGAATTGGGAGGGTGGGAAATAGAAAGGGAGAGAAGGCTAAATCCTTCCCATTTCTATCTAAAAGACACCACCAGGCCCTTATAATGAAAACAATTAAAAATTTTAAGCAGATGCTAAACACTCTGATGCCCTGCAGCAGAGAGCTCAGTGCAGTGGGGAGATCTGCTGTGCCAGGAGAACGCCAGAAGAATGAAAAGCAAAACCCAGATCTCTTCTAAATTTTGTCTTAGCTGGACATGCGGGAGCACGGGAGCAACTGGGCCAGCAGACAGCACCCGTCTTGTCCTGGGCCATGTGGTGCATCTGTCCTGGGCTTGGCAGCTGCCTTGGCAGAGCCTTTCCAAAGGGTTGAGACCAGCAGGAAACAATTTTGGAGGTGACTTGCTCACATCTTAGACAGCTGATGGTCACTGACTACACCCTGCAATGCATTTTCAGAGCCTTTGGGGACCATGTGTTGTGGGAGGGCTGCTGGTCCCAGGTGGACACAGTGAAATGTCTGGATGCTGCCTGCCAAGCTCTGCATGGACTTTAGGACAGCAGCCCCAGGGGTGGAATTTAGCTTGTTAATCATCTGATACATGCAGGTAATTAAATACTATCACACTGCAACATCCATTTGGTCACTAAGCGATGGCTTCCCCCAGTTCCCTCCAAATTTCCTGCTTGCCTGGGTTTGGGGAGGTACCTTGGGGCTCAAGTCGTGCCGATGGGGACCTGGTACTGCGTGTTGTTGGAGCCTCTCTCCCATCCTGGAACCCCATCCTGAAGTCAATGGCCTCTGTTTAGAGCAAAAGAAACCCCAGGAGGGTCCAGATTCCTGCTGGATTCAACCCAAACACAACTAGCTGGGGAGAGAGAGGAGCAGGCGTGGATGGGAGGGCAGGGGACTGGTCTGAGCTGGGGTCAGCCAAAATGCTTGACCACAAGAGGAGGTTACCCACCTGCAGTGGATATGCTGGAAGAAGGGAGGAGCCCTTGCAGCACCCAGGATCTGGCATGGCTGAAATTGGGCACCCTGCACACCCCTGCTGCTGGAGCCAGCTGTGCGAGCTCACAAACATCTGTGCCTGCCCCAAAGGAAGGATCCTCCTTCATCCTGACGTTCCAGAGAAGGAATCTGTAAATATTTTGCTAATTATCATCAGCAATACCGGGGAGTCTGCTACAAAGCTCTGGGGGCAGGGAGACATTGTAACACCAGGATGGAGCCGGGGTGGAAAATCATCCCCTGGGGTTTGACTGGGCATGAGGTGACTCCTGGCAGAGGCAGAGCCCTTGGGAGAGGGGAGGAAGTGGAGAGATACTAATTAGATGCTAATAAGAAAGTAATTAGTAGGTCTCCAGCCTTGCCAGTGCCCTTGGGCTCCCCTGCCCGGCTCCAAGCCAAACCACCTGCTTCAGCGTCCCCAGAGTGGCTTAAGCCCCACAGGGGACGGCCGGAGCGGGGATGAACCAGCTGCTGCTCCCCACGCACACTGACATGCCTGACCACAACAAAATGCCCTCATAAATTGCCCTCGTGAAACAAAACTTGACAAATAAAAGCCGAAAGTCCATCTGCAGCCTGTTTGCTTTTGGTGTTTAATACGTCCCTTGGTTTGCTTGCATTTGTGTGTAGCTCATGGCAGCTCCTCCGCTCCCTCATGGCTACGTGCTTGGGACGGGAGATAGGACTCCTGGGCTGCCTGTGCTGTCCCTGAGGGCAAAGTGCTACCCCTCCTCATGCCTCAGGTTCCCCATGCCTCAAATAGGATAAATTACACAGAGACCTGGCCCCATCAGCTGGCCAAGATGCCTCTGGGCTTTAAGAGGATCCTTGGGACACCCGCAGTGTGACACCTTTAGGGTGCCTCCAGCTTAGATGTGGCTACCTCCCATCTGGCACAGGTCTTGCAGATATGAGAAAAATGTTTCCCAGCCCCAAAACAACACCGTGCGGCAAACCCCTGGGTTAGTGCATCCAAACTGCTGGCTCACTATTTAATTAACACAATAAAAAAAAAATTAAAATTAAATGTTTAATTCTCACGTGGGCAACAAACAGAAAGAGTGCAAAGCCAGGATGGCTCCCCAGGATGCCAGCTTGATTTTTAACCTTTCCCATCCCACTTTCAATTTCCCCTTGGGATCAGAGATCATCAAAAATCATCTATTCTGGTTGCAGCTACTTCCACTGCTCTTTTGTAATAGCAGGACCCTGTTCCATCACAGTCCAGCAGGTCACCTCAGAAGTAGCTGACACATCGGCACAGGAGAAATGATTCCCAGCCTCTGCTGGGGTCTAAAATTTCCCCCCCACCCCCAAAAGGACTAGCCGATGCATCAAGAACTTGGAATGATTATGATAAAACCTGCGGGACACCAAGGGCATCACTATGATTTGTGCTGTCTAAATGTTAATCAGAATAATAATGCCTATTGAGACAGCTGTTTTAAAAGGCTGTGATGTCGGAGTAAAAATTCCAATAAAATTCTATTAGCCCTTCCTCGTTACACTAATGGTGCCTGCTGCTAAAAGCCCCCTGCTATAGACACCCGTATTAATGGGCTTATTACAGGAAATAAAATCTGAGGCTGAACATTACAGTGAAGCCTGATTAATTCAGCAAGGTAATCTTTTTTTTTCTTCCCCCTCCTCTCTGCCTTTTCTTTTTCTCCCCCCCTTTATTTAATGAATATGCTTCTTGAAGTGCCAACTTCTGAGCTTTGCGTGGAGTTTGGGGATGATTTTAAACTGATCTCATTCACAATGAGATGAATCTTTGTTCTGGTTCCTGGTGCAAATGGGGGGAAAGGCTTCTCAGATATCTCCATCAAACCAGGAAAGAGGAAAAGCAGCCAGGTTAGAAGTGAAGATGTTAGGAAGGGGGGAATATCGGATATCCCATGGATGGTCCTGGAGTGGCAGCTCTTGTGCTGGAACACCCCGTTGCTTGTCCCCACACAAGTGCATGGTGACATTGGACAAGGTGAAGCTGCTGGGGGGCAAACAGCAGCTTCTCTCAGCTGCTCCCTCCCATCCTTTCTTGTCCTGATTTCTCCTCTTCTGCTGTCACCCCCATCCCTGCAGGAAGGTCTGCCCAGGTCTCAAGGCACTACATCCAGGTTTGCAGGTGCTATCCCAAACCCAGTGTGGTGTCACCCAGCGAGGCTGGCAC